TAGCGCCCTCTAGGGTCAATCCCTTTGCAGTGTTCATATATTAGTTCAGGGAGCTGTAATGACAGCTCCCTGATTAGTTCAAAGGCTTGGTGACACATGCGACTGTTTTACTAAGCACTCAGATAAAATTGCAAATAAATAATTTTATATTGAAATAAGAACAGTCCTAATCAAAGGACGTCTGGCTAGGATCGTTATGGTGGCTGCAAAATGGCAACTTTTGTATTACATGCATTTTTAAATACTATTAAAAATTAAAATACTGTATGTAATGTATATTCATCAATATATTGTTTTACCAGGAATCCAGTTGAAAAGGTTTTTTTTTTTTTCAAGTCCGATTTTACCGTGGAGATAAAAATCTGAGCTCAATGGTACACCTTTGCGTGGACCACGCCCACGAAGACATCTCGCACATGGCCCAGCATCAGAGTCAATATTGTCACGGTGCCTTATTGGTTATGCAACCCAAACACCTGACAGTTAGACCAATCAGAAAGCAGGTCTGATGTACCATGCTAGATTGAAGTAGAATATTCCAAAACACATTACCTTGCAGGCTTCTTCGTGAATCTTCCAAAATAGTTCTTTTTCTTCGTCTTTCGGTTTCTTTTGACAATTACTGATATCAACATCGCTGTTCGACTTGCTTTCGGAGTTACACTGTTTTATTGAGTCACCCATGGTGAACGACTGCATAACTTTCCTTCTCAGAATATTTACGGATTTGCTTAGTCCAGTCGTGATTAAAATTCGACTAGATAGTATGTCGCACAGTCGCCCTTTCATTTGCCCCGACAGAATTAGGAATTTACACAGCGACTGGACTGATTCAATAATAATTTCAGCTGACTTGTCATATTATTTTTTGACAATGAGGCATTATGGTTTTCGTCGGTGCACGACAATCACGACGTGATCGGACGACGCAGACAAGTACGATCCGGATCTTCGTGATATCCCGTGTTGACGAGTGTACTAACGATGTCAGCTGGCCGACCGGGGTGAAAGGGCACACAACTCTTCAGTATTTAGTGGACGATTCTATTCGTGAAGGCTAGGACAACGTGACCTCTTGTATAGCTTTACCTTATACTTTATCCTGCTTGGCGATGAAAAAAAAATATTAATTTTAAAATACGCTATGTAATTTTAGAATGAAGTATTTGTAACAGTTGTTGCCATTTTATTGTGTTTGACACACCTCCAATGTAATGCCGAGTCTTACCCAGAATGCACTGCTGTGTATGTGATTCGTATTATCAATATGGCCGCAGACTTCGTCATGTTGATGTGATTCGGACTTGAACTTGTTTTCACACCATATAATACCAAAAACTGCAGCGATGGGTTCGCGATTAATGTGAGTAAACATTTAATTAAATTACTTATTTCAAATTATACGATTGATCGCCAAAACGTACATGCCATGAATCGAATTTTGCCTCTAAAGTTTGTTTCCGACGTTGTCAACACGATTCCTCGGTCGCGGTCGGATGTGGATCGGTATTCAGAAATAAATCAGACCACGGAAGTCAGTCGTTGTTAGTCATTGTTATGAAAATAGTCTTGACCTTTGATCGAACGAAGGACAAACTGCATGTAGTCGTTTGAGTTATTTATGCTGATTATGGTACTGTATTGTTGTTGCTATTCGACTCTGCGATTTTCATCGTGGCGATATGGTTAATTTTTGGTGAACGAGGGCGGTGCTCACTGAACTCAAATAACTTCCTGTTTGGATCTTCCTTATACCAAGCGCCCATTAGTGCATATTATCAATACTGATTGGCGTGTGAACAGTTATGATTGCAGTGTTTATATTTTTCGACGAAAAAGACCAAAGGAAGTGACTTCATCCCCACATGATCTTGTATTCAATAGTTAGTTGTCTGTTATCAACAATACTCTTTTGTTCCGAGGAAGTGCGGCAGTATGTTACTTTAAGTAATCACTTTGGTGCTTCGTTTTCCTGTCTGAGTTATAAAATTGTGCTACACAACGGTCGTATAGTGACACTATTTAGTTACAATGTAACCAGAATGTACACACCCACATTTTTTACATGTACCTGTGTTGTTTTAGTGTTTGTTGTGGTATGCAGTGTATCCATGTTCATACATTCTAATGGATTCTATAAAATAAAACATATTCAAAAAGTTAAACTTTTTGTAAAGCGTTTTCTAGCATTCTGCAGATAAAATCAATTTGATTGTTTTGAGATATTTTTTCTGCCCATAAAAAATACTTTACATACAAAATCTTGCCAGTTGAAAGTTACTATACGTCTATTCTATTCTATTCTATTCTATTCTATTCTATTCTATTCTATTCTATTCTATTCTATTGGAAGAATTACTTAATGTTTATGGTGTATCAATGTGTACATAGAAGTTTTACTCAATTTCATCAGTAGTGATAGTAGAATATTTATATTTATTTATTTATTAATTATTATTATTATGCATATGTCACTGTAACGCTATAAGTTACAGTGTGCTGTAATTTTGTAGTAGTTTACGGGTTATTTTCATCCTACCATATTAGGAAATGCAAATTCCAAATATGGAATGATTACGTGCGTAAACAAACATGGCTGCCACCAGGGTTTGACAGGACTCCACACAAAGAAGTTCGCTGATTCTGTTCTAAACATTTTGGATTTCGGCATTCCCGTGATGTGTCCTTGGAAGGAAAAGATATATAATAATAAGGTTATTACATGTACATGTATGAGGATACCTCAAAGTATGCACTCAGACTGTACACCGTCGCATCGACCTCCGATACTTCCGCTGTACTGACTTTGTGCATACTTTAAGGTATCCTTGTAATCAGTGTTCTCCCCAGGATGTAAACAGTGTGGCGGTCCCGCCACAGTGCTTCGATTTGCCGCCACACCGGTCTGACACCCCCAAGGTGATTAGCAAGACCGCCACAGTGCTTTTTTCATTGGGGATCTTGTCACGCTGGTCGGCCCGATCAAAATTAGCGACCACCACAGAAATGCTTTCGACCAGGAATATTGTCATATTGTTAATATACTTGCGTATCGACCGACACGCATCCTGCCAGTCATAGATAATAATTTGTAAACAATAGACATAGTCGCATGATGTGTTAGCGGCTTATATACAATACAAGTCAATTTTGTAAAATTAGTACCTCTTTGTTCGTAAGTAAATACTTTGAAGATCGACGCAGTATTTAGATTGATAGCTAAAATTCTTTCAAAATCAATTCCACCCCGATGTAACATGGGCAAAGCAGAGTTCACGATCAGTTTACGCTACTCAAGAAAAACGTGTTTCTTGCATGATTGAATAAAATATATTGAACTGTTATCATCGTGAATCATGTAAAAACTCTTCTTTCAAGACTTCTTTTACCTGTTAAAAATTGCTAATCATCTCTTCCATAAACCATCATGCAGTTTTAATCTGAAATCCACACCAACACATCATGCTACGACATCGCTTTACTTTCGCAATGTAATTTTTATGATCACTACCATTCGGAAAACTTTGGGTTCTACCGGCATTACCATGTGGCATTCTGATTGGTTAATGGCATTTTTGACCCATCGGGTCAAAGGACACAAATTTTTTGCATGGCATCATGACTGAGTAAGAGGAATTATTGGTATAACCGGTGTATAACATCGCGATGTAAGTTATGTTACATCGTAACTTTGCTGATCGTTTGGAAGTGTTATTTGTTCGTTCATTACTGTAAATGTAAACGTTGTAGAAGCTGATGGTCAGAATAATAGCCAGCAATCCGCATATTTATAAATACATGGACGATTTTTTGAAGGAGAATTTTGTAATAAATAAGATCATGAAAGTCGTGAACATAATCCTGGCTGAAACGTTTCAAATTAGTTTCATTTAACCTTTTCAATTTCTTTTTAGTCTGCAGCATTTGCATTTCGAGAATGTTTCATTTTTAAATTCAAACTCTTCTAAATTGTGAAACATAATATTTTGACTCCAATAACAAAAATATTTGCACTGTGACCGAGCTCATTAATATTACAAAAGTGCCCAAAATAAAAGTGTTTATAACACTGTGTGAAGCAAATAAATATCTGCAACTTTGTTTTTGAAAATATATGTTGTTTATTGTGTGGGTGTAAATGTGCATTGGCCAATTTCTATTATTATGTAAATGATATGCAAATTAGCCCACCACAGTGGTTTACATTCCTGGGGAGAACACTGCTTGTAATAACCTCATATTAATATTATTATTATTATTCTCCTTTGAAATGGAAAATTTATTATTAAAAAAATACACATATGTTATTGGTTTCTAAAGCCCCCCCAAAAAACAGTGATCATACGGCAACAGACACAGAGAATTCACTTGCCTTCATAACACAGTCATGACAACGCTGTCTGAAACTATTTACTTTAGGATGGTGACTAAAACTTTGATCATATTGGATGAGAAAGTGTTCCAATTTTGGCGATACCTTGTTTATATGTTTTGTCTGCAATTTCACAAAACTAATTAAAACAATGTTTACTAATTAACTTGGATTACGGAAGTGAATAAACAATATTTATGTTCACAGTTGTGTTGCAATTACTGTAAACATGCACGTTAACAATAATAATCGGTGTTTATTCTTCATGTTTACCGAATAAATTATAAGTTAGGTAAGGAACGTTTATACTTAAAAACATACTTACCGTACATAAATTTATAAATCAAACTGTTTGAAATCAGTCTCATTCAACGATTGGCTAAGTGCCTCTCTTCATTCTGTGAAGTGTTCACGCATAAAATAGCATTAAGCAGCCTTCGTTACTGCCTGCGCTCATACAACGTGCCGTACAATCACTGTTTATCGTTTATAAATGGTTCATAACATACATGCTTTACATGACATAGGTGTCCATTGGTTATGATTGATCCACATTGTTCGCATACTTCTTACAACTGTTCTGATTGGTTTTGATTGATCCACATTATTCGCATACTTCTTACAATTGTTCTGATTGGTTATGATTGATCCACATTATTCGCATACTTCTTACAACTGTTCTGATTGGTTTTGATTGATCCACATTGTTCGCATACTTCTTACAACTGATTGGATTATTGGATTAAATGAGTATCCTAAGGGACAACATCAAAAGTTCAATGTAGGATAAAAAACTTAATTCCCACTGAAACTTAATTGATAAATATTGATCATGGCATCAGACTACATTCACCATTAAATACAAATTGATAATCGGACAGTAGTATGAAATAGACCTCATTTGACGCACATATTTACACTCGAACCAAACCATTTTCTAGTCTTGGATTTTTTTTTCATTTTCTGTTATTTTTCTTCACGATTCATTGGATATAAAAAAAAAAAAACTACAAATACTCCCAAGATTTTTTTGAAAAATCGTTTTTGTGGGATGGAAACTTTTTTAGATCAAAACCCCCACCCCTAAACTAAAGCAAATAAGTTTTTTATCCGACATCGATCTTTTGACGTCGTCCCTAATGGCATTATGAATTGGACAGTGGACAAATAACATATAGT